TAGTGGAACTATAATCGACACAAATTGAAGGCAATTTGACAATACTTCATAGTTCTTCAAAATATTTATATACCTTGACCAATTCATTTGGAGGGCTACAGCATAGGGAAAAATTCAGGGGAAAATTCCAAAGTTCAGAGAAAGCGTTAAGCACCAGTTAGTTCTCCAAGGATTAAAATACAGAAACTTTATGGGTACCCCTGAATGTACTCTTAGGAAATTAAGACATCCATTCAGTGGACTGTTAAATAACCATTAAAAACAACAGCCAGGGAGTTTTTATTAACTTGGGGGGGGGCATGCTTATATTCTAATGTTAATTTAAAAAATGTAAATGCTAATTAATGGCTTGGCACCTGTAGGTCAAGAGGCTAGGGCACCAGCCACATACACCGGAGTTTGTGGGTTCGAATCCAGCCTGGGCCCGCCAAACAACAATGACAACTACAACCTGAAAGTAGCTAGGCATTGTGGCTGGCATCTGTAATCTCAGCTACTTGGGAGGCTAAGGCAAGAGACTCGCTTAAGCCCAAGAGTTTGAGGTTGCTGTGAGCTGTGACGCCATAGCACTCTATCCAGGGTGACAGCTTGAGACTGTCTCAAAAAAAAAATAAATAAATAAAGTGCTAATCAAAAAGTAGAATACAAAATTATACAAAATGGATGCTTTCAACCACACAAACAAATGCATGGAAGGAAAGATATTAAAACAGTAGCAGTCATTATATTTGTTTATGGTTCACTGTATTTTGCAGATTTTCTAGAAGAATTGAATTTTTTAATTGGATTTTTCCTTTGTTTAACATAAAGAACAGTATCACCAACACTGGTCTTAACCTCATGGAATGTAAGTTTTATGTTGCTTATTTTATTTTTGCTTTTATAAAGAAACCCCCGCCCCCAAGAAACAGAGAAGAGAGAGTTGAAAGGAGAGGGGAAGGTAGGAGCAGCTCTTTTAACCTAATTATTTTCTGCCATAAGGTGGACACTGTCATCACCTTTTTAGAGCCAAGAAAGGGGCTCAGAAATGCTCAGGTCCAAGGGTACCCAAGGGGCAGAGTTGGAGTTCAAACCCAGGCTGTGGGGATCTTGGTGCTCCCCAAAGCCAGGATTGAAAAGAAAGAGAAAAGAAAGGGCAAAAGGAGGCGAGTTCAAAATCACATCAGTAATTTGTATCATAATAAAAAAGGTTGGTGTTAGTGGGCAGAATTGTGGGTGATTTTTTTTCTTCCTCCCTTCTCCAGATTTCCTGTAAGATGATATCAACTTTTTATTTATGTGCAAGAAGAACACTTCAGCCACCTGAATTCACTGAACTGTGGGCAGCAAGAGAGAAAAAAGGCTCTCACCCAGGTCCCCTGGTACAGGGAAGAAAGGAGCTGGGGCAGGGGGTGTGAGAGAGGGCAGGCCACACAGCCCCCACATACACAAGCACACAGCACCATGGGGCTGCAGAAGCCCCAAGACTTGGGGGAGAGCTCAGAGTGTGTGTGTGTGTGCACATGTTGTGCTGTGGCAGATGCTTATGGGGCAGCTGTCTCTGGAGAGTTCTGCAGAGGTGAGACTTTGCAGCCTGCCTGGTCCTGCAGTTTCTCTACACCACTCACAAAAGTTTCACCCACTAAATAGGATGCTCTGTCAAGCACATTTCCAAAAAGCTGTGCACCACTGCTATTTCCTGACAGTCCATATTCTCAATCCCAAAGCAGAAGGACGTGAGTGGAGGACGAGGCAGCGCTCAGGGCTGAGGAGGAATCTTTAGAACCGCTTTTGTTTCAGTGGGATCAGGGTGCACAGACTGTGGCTGGGGCGATCCTTTCCCGTCATTCTTCATGGCTGGCTGCTCTGATTCTGGAGGGCACCATTTCTCAGAGTGCCGGGTCTCATCTCAGTGGGCAAACTGGATGCTCTTGGGCAAGGCCGAAGCCTCCAGCCCAGGTGAGAACAGGTAAACTCTTAGTTATATAATTCTAACAGAAAGGAAAACGAACAGGAATCTAATTTTGCAGAGAATTTGCCAATCATCTTCCCACTCCAATAAAAAGTACTTTCATTTTTTCCATGTCCCTTGTCAATCCATGTTCCTAGGATTCCCACACAAGATTGTGGAAAGTCACTGGGTCCTCTTGGAGAGCCCCTGCCAGAAAGTGGCTGAGATTTAGGAGACAGCAGGGGTGAGTTTGGTGAAGGAAAAGAGATGTAGCTTACAGGCTTGGTGGCTGGCCAAACGAGGTGATCTGTATGTCTACGTGGAATAGGAGGTGACATAAACAGGCATGTGCAGGCACTGGCAGAGAGGAGGCAACAGAGTAAAAGCCTAGGAGGACCTAAGGGGACCAGCTCTCAAGCAACCTGTCTTGTAAGCACAGAACCCCTAGTGATGGGTCATCACAACATTGCCTGCCTTTGAGCCTCATGACAGACCTGGGAGGTAGATGGGCTTTCACCATTTTCCACAGAGATGTCATTCCCAGAGACAACCCCACTTGCCTAAGGTCACACAGCTGTGACACGGCTCTTGGACTGAGATAGGCTGAACCTAGATCTAAGATTCTTTCTCTCCCAGATAGCACTGCGCCCTCTGCAAAAGCCAAGGGGGCTCAGCCTCCCACAGGCTCAAGGAAGAAGACTGAGCTGTGGAGGGCAGAGGTAAGGGAAGGAAGGGAGCAGAGGGAAGATGAAGACCGTCCTCAGCTAATAAGATGGGAAGACAGAGGCAGAGTATCCGTACTCATAATGGATCAAGTCACCAAGGTGCAGGGACAAGGGACCTTCACCTAAAGCTCTTACTGGACTTCCAGGTCCATGGGGCTGGGGGTGCAGTGGTCACTGACTATTAATTAATAAAACCCCCAGGGTGGCGCCTGTGGTTAAAGGAGTAGGGCGCCGGCCCCATATGCTGGAGGTGGTGGGTTCAAGCCCAGCCTCAGCCAAAAACTGCAAAAAAAAATAATAATAAATTAATTAATTAAAAAAAATAAACCCCCTGGTAGCATTTTCCTCATGAGGGTTCACCTGAGGCACTGGGATGAGTGATGAGTAGAGGGCTGGAAGCACCATGCCAGGAGCCCCCAGTCATCATTTTGCCCTCTAACTCTGTCATCTTAGACAAATTCGTTGGAAAATGAGGGAAAACAAGAACAATTATAAGAAGTCTATGATCCCAGGCCCACCTCCCTACGCACGTTAGACAGATCTCTTGGAAAATGAGGGGAAACTAAGAATAATTATAACAAGTCTATGATCCCAGGCCCACTTTCCTACTCATGTTGGTTTCACCATTCTGTTGGCTTCTGGGCAAAGAATGATTTTAAGTATCCCACAGACCTTTCTTTTCATAAAAGTCAAGAACATCCTAACATCCTGAGGGAGAGTGGGCTTCCTCTCACACCTCCTAAGACAAGGCTTGGCACCCTCAGTACCAATCTCCCACCTAGCACTCCTGTGACTTTCCTTTGCTGCAGGCAACTGCCCAGAGGATTCCTTCATCATAATCTTTCTATGAATCATTCCGGGTAAGTACCATCTGTTTGCATCTGGGGAAATAAAAACATAAAAGAGAAATGAAAAATCTGTGGTATATCCAAAAATAGCACCCAGATACGATGGCTTCCCAGTTCACCTTTCTGTACTGTCTGGCTCTACCTTGTGTTGCTTCATACAATGGAAGCTGGCTGGGACCCTCAGCTCTCAGGATCTCAGAGGTTAGCAAATTATCTCAGTCTAAATGCAACGAGGTGGCCCGGCAGAACCAGGGTTCCCAATTCTGCCCCATTCTGATGAGCCTGTCCTAACTCCTTCCCCACTGCAGGTGCCCCTGCAGTCACATGCTTTTGTCAAATGATCTGCAGCTTCAGACTGCTCCCTCTGCAGAAAAGAATAGAGGGAAAAACAGAGAGTGAAAATAAATACATATATATAGCTCTCTTCTGGAAACCTCACAACCTCCCAGCTTATAAAGCATAGGCAGCTTGTTACCTCCCCCCAGAGTCTTCACTGGACAGCAGCACAGCCTGAGGTCCCCCTCCCCTTCCCCACCTACCTGGTCCTTCCAAGAGAAATAATACTTGCTAAGGGGACCTGCTGATGTCTCACCCTGAATGAGAAATGCTGATGTATTGTCAACTGGGCAGGGAAGGAGACAGATTAAAAAGTTGAGTCCCTCTCTCTCTTTTCCCTCTCCCTCTTTCTAAATAGAGGGGCCCACCAATTGCTGAATCTTTCCATTACACTCTCAGCTTCCTCTGCCTCCAACAAACTTTGTGACTCACAGTCTGTTCGCAGAGTGAGGCAGCTGAGCAGCCTTAGTGATGGGTTAAATTGGGAATTTGCTCTTCTCCAGACACTCATCCCTCAGGTGCAGGCTGAGCCCCCTACCTCACAGTGGGGGTGGGAGTCGAGCACAGCTCCAATTCTGGCCGTCCCTAGAATAGCTGCCAGAGGCCTGGGTTATAATGGACTCGTGTCCATTGGGACCAAACATAAGCCCTTGGAGGGACTGGGGCCTGGGTAATGCAGTCCATTCCTAGACTGGTCTGGGTCTCCAGTACTCCACTCGGCAACGTGTTGTTTTGTTTTGCTTTGTTTTCACCCACACCGCCTGCAAAACCAGAAGACTTCCTGGCAAATTATCAAGCAGAGCAGTGCATCGTGAGGGTCTGTCTGGCTAACTGTTGCACAGCAACTGAGGGGATGGCTGCGGACGAGGGAAGAGAGGTCAGAGCCGAGCTGCACCCTCTCAGCAGCGGCCCCTCCCTCCATCATCGTGGAGAGCAAATCTGGAAGTTAGGGAACCTGGATCCCGTGGCCCGGCGGCAGGGGCAGCCAGAGGCCAGGTCCATCCAGGGAGGCGAGATGAGGCTCCCGGCACCGGCTCGCTCTCCGGCCCTGTGCACCGCTGCCGCCGCCTCCCGCATCCTCGGAGCCGGGCACAAGGCCGGCAGCGAGCGTCTGCGCTCAGCCCTGGACCGGCTTCCCGCATAAAACTCCCAAGCACAAACCGCTTTTGTTAATTCTGCAAATGTAGTCACACGACCACCTCCACCGACACTCCCTGTCTGCTCGGCTCCAAGGGAGACCCGCTTCCCCCATGGTCCCTGGCCCCCGACGGACCACCGCCCACCGCCCCCAGCGCCTGCACACGACGGGCCGAAGGAGGATCCCAGGGCCCCCCGGCTCCAGGCATCTTTGTCCTCTCGGCATAGACGCGCGCTCACAGAGCGGCCGAAACAGCCCAGCCGGGCACCGAGTCGGCGCCCTCGCCCCACGCCGGGGCCACGCAGGGGAACAATGGTCCGAGCCCTGGAAGTTTGCGGGGTCGGCCCCCGCGGGCCGGAGCCCGGGCGCGGAGCTCTCCTTACCGTACATCTCGGCAGGGCGCGCGCCTCCCGGAGGCCGGCGTCGCCGCGTCGTTTCCAGCCAGCCCCCGGCGGCGCCTGCCTTTCATTCACAGCCCGGGCGGGGGCTGGCGGCGGCCGGCGGGGGGCCGGGTGGGGCGGGAGCAGGCGCTGGAGCCGGCCGCAGGCGGGACGGAGCCCGGCGCCGCGAGCCCATTCAGCGTGAGGCTGCCTGCGGCCGCCTGAGCTCGGGCTCCCAGGCCGGCTGCGGGCAGAGGGCGGGGCTATGCTAATATGGCGCCCCGCCCTCCCAGCGCGGCCAACGCGCGGCCGCTCCGAGCGCCCCGCCCCGCTCCGGCCCCCAGCGAGACTCCCAAACCCCGAGATGCGCCTTTTCTGAAGTGTCGCCTTGGGTGCTTCGTTTACCTGGAGCACCCACTGGCTCTCCCTGCTCACAGGCCCGCCGCTGTGATCTCCCCCGACCTGCAAGCCCCGAGGTCAGAAGGGGAACTGAAGCTGCAGGTGGACCCCTTCCTTGACTTTGTCCAGTCTGAGTCAGCTGAGCCGGGGGCGCAAGGACTAGGAATTAGGGAACAATCTCTGCCCTCCCTTGGCTCCCTTACCCAAACCCCACTCTCTACTGAAGCCCTCCAGCCCTCAGCTGTATCCTCTCAGCCACTCTTTGGTCCCGTACTTGGTACCGAAGAGCGTCCTTCCCGAGCTAGGTACGCAGGAAACGCCCCCAACTCCCAGCCCCCAAGAGCTGCAGGAAGTCCGCTTGCCTTTCCTCCCCCAAATTATAGGTGTAATTCGCAAGCTTAGCCGCCAGGCCTCTCCAGCTGTGCCCCCGGGCCGAAATGAATTCCAGCTCTCCACCTGCCTCGGCCCTATGAGAAACAGACGCAGAGGGACAGAAGGCTCCTGCCAACGCCTGAAGATCTCTTAGCTTAGCTCAGGACTTCCCTACGGCTTCTTGCCCAACCTTCTTCTCCACAGGTCACGCATTTCCCCTGACTTACCATATCTATTCCTTAGTTTCTTGCCCATATTGATATTTTTCCTTCCTAGTAGAAATATTCTTCTATTAGAAGTTAGAGAGTTCAGAGAGGGAGGGACCTTAAAGACGGTCTAATGCTCTTCAATTGACATCATATAACCTTGAGAGGTTAAATTGTGTTCTACTTCCTCAACACACTAGGCTGTGTGTCTGCAGGCCAGCCATCCACCCCCTCTGAACCTCAGCTTCCTGCAGGACTGATAGGAATAAAAACTACATGAAAGTATACAGTGGGCACTCACATATCTTCTTTTCCTTCCTCATGGCCCAAGGGAAGGCCAGAGTCAGAGAGAGAATTCAGGTTGTCAGCTTGCTGGACTCCTGAAACAGTGCTCTCTCTGCTGTACCCCAAACCCATAATCCCTATTTGTCCCTGGCCTCACCCCTCCATCTCCCTTGCTGGTCCCAGGTTTTGTTCCCATTTCTTTAACTCTTTAACTTTCTTAGCGGCCGGCCAACCACAGGAAATTCTGGGATGGTTCCCAGAGGAACCATCAGGCAACTTGCAAAGAAGCTCTGTCTCTGTTCTTCATTCCCAGGAACAGGCTAGGTGGGTTTGAGGCCTGCTGAGAGTCAGACTTGAGCCAGAGCACAATGGAGAATCTAGAGTCTAGCTTCATCTGGGCACCTAGAGGTGCTCCCTTCCTACAGTTTTTGTTCAACACAAAATAGACTCATGAAACACTGGTGTGTGCAGCTCAGAGGGAAATGTAGAATTTGTCTTCAAGGAGTGAAATGTCTCACAGGGAGCATCAGAAGAATACTGATAAAAACATTACAGGACAAGGAAGAATATGGTCAATTCTGCATAAGAAGCACAAACCTCTATTTAGATAACTCAGAGGGCTGATAGTGTAATTCATTATTTTTATCAACTATTTATTGATCACTCTCCGTATGTACCAGGCACTGGATGATACTGGAGGGAGACATGGAAAAATTGTAAGGAAATCTTCTAATGCTGATTTAGGCACATGCACGGAGCAGGGAAGAGTTTCCTAGGGAAAAAAAAAAACCCCACTCAGTAGCCTTTAAGAATGGGTAGAATTTCTAAATGTGGAAATAATACAAATAATCCAGCCAGAGGGACTGAATTTTCCCGGGTTTGGAGATGGTGGAGGGTAGAAAGTACAGGAAACGCAGCATGCCATCCCACCTGGCTGGGGCAGAGCCTCGTGTCAGCTCTAGGGTTGCCAGATGTAGTAGAAATATAAGACGCCAATGTAGTTTGAATTTCAGATAAATAAGGAATAATTTGCCATGTATGCTCCATGCAGCATTCGAGACATACTTACACCAAAAAAAAAGTTTTTGTTTTCTGAAACAGATTCAAACGTGTTTCATTTGGCAACTTTAGTTACTACCATCCTTTGGAGGGTGCTTCTGGATCTCCATGACTCAGCCAGGCCTAGAGTAGGCCTCCCCTCCATGCTACCAATATGTACTCTCATATAGATCTGACCAGCGTGGGGCTCCTAAGGAAAAAGGTGCAGGGTCACTTGGACCAGCCTGTACCTTTTAGCCTGGGAGCTTTTGACAGAGGGCTGAGGCCCTGAACATACAAGCCTCTCCAACCCATGGATTGCCTGTGAGAACCCTGACTATAGGCACCTATTCTGTGCTCTCCAAGGGCTCGGGAGCTGACACTGTTCTTGGTCTCTGTGTGTCCTGGCTGATCCTCAGCTTCCCTGGGTTTCAGTCAAGATGTCTGGCCAACATGTATGAAGGGAATGGTGCTGTGGAAATCCATCAGAATGCTGTTATAGATGGGGAAACCAAGCCTTGGAGGGAACACAATCTTTTGGCTCACAGCTTAAAACAGAAGAGCAGAGCTCCAGGGTCCCAATCTCCAGAATGGTGTGCCCATGAAGAAACGCTAAGCAGAATCAGCTAAAGATGAACTATGGAAAGGAGAGAGAGTCAGAGTTGGGATTCTTCTCTTAAATGGGTTCGTACGTTACCTGCAGAAATTTAAAACATGGTGTTGACAGGGAGGAAAGAGGAGAGGAAATCACACTTACTGAGGGCTCCAAATGCAACAGGTCTGTGCCAGGTGCTTTCCAGGTTAGCCCGTGTGACACTCTCGGTAGCTATGCAAGGTAAGTACTATTATTCCCACTTTATGGCTGGGAAATTCAGACCCAGAGAGGCTAGACAACTCTCCAGGAAATAGGTGAGCAGAGTCTCAAGCCCAGGACACTGTGCCTGAGACCCATTTTCCTTCTGCCACACCATGCTGCCTTGCAGGGTACCCGATAAACTGCACTTTAGACAGAGTGACATTTGGACTCCTTGGCCATCTGAAGCCCTCTGCCCCCTTCCCTCCCTCTGCCTGCATTTGTTCCTCTGCCTCATCTGTATTTTATGTCCTCTGTGACCTGGGTTGCAGAGTGGGCATTAGAGAGGGTTTTGAACTATTCAGACCCAACCAGGTCACCTTATTTCCACCTTCCTCCCCAGGCCTCGGTAGTAGAGGTCCCTGGGGCCCTGGCCAGAACCTAGGCCCTCCTGGGACTGGTTTGGTCAGACCAGAGGAACCAAGCCTTAGAAAAGGTTATTATTCTTTGGCCAAAGTGCACTTTGGTTAATGTGGCCACTCTGAACAATGTCCCTCACTGTAACAGCTCAAATGATGCTCTCTGCCATGAACAAGCACCTCAGAAAGGCCCAGAGTTTCCATCTGACCCAGAGGCTGAAGTTCCTGCGCTGTACGGAGAGGGAGGCTTCCAAGTGGGTGGCTGCCTATAACCACCACATAAAACCCAGGAAGCCTCACTCCTATTCCCGGCTTTGGTGTCCATGACGCATCACCAGGGCCTGTCCTGTAGTTACAGGAGTCTGGCATCCTGACCCTGAGCCCCAGCAGCCTCTAATCTCATCAGCTCCTGCAAATGCAGAGCTCATGCTCTTGGCACCAGCTGCCAGCAGCCAACACCCTTAAAGGGAAGAAGCTGACAGCCCCAGGGGATGTAGCTTCAGAAAAAAAGTCATGAAACCTAGAGAAGGCCCAGGGAGACCCTGAGGGAAAATGAAGTCTTAAGGATTGCCTGATAGCTGATTAGCTGAAAGCCAGAAATAGAACTCAGGATTCCTGACTCCAGGCTGGAGGACTTGAACCCCAGCACTTCTCCCTCGAAGCAAGTTAACTACCTTGACCTACTTCTCCGAAGCCACAGGGAAAAAACAGGCTGTAAAACCAACACCCAAGTATAGGAGTGGGTGGGTATCCAAGGGCTGAGGAATGCATCTCCACAACATGGGCAAATGCTCAGGAGTCCCGTCAGCAGGACACACTCTTGTCACCAAGGTTGCTGGAAGTCATCTGGGGCTGCAGGAGGGATGCAGGAGGGCAGAGCAGTCTGCTGCCAGGAGACCAGGGCTTGAGTGGGTGTGGAGGAGGCGGCTGCAGATTTTTCAGAGTGTGCAGAGAGTTCGAGGAATTAATTGTTGACACATTGAGGTTTAAAAGCACCCAGCAGACTCCCAGCTGCAACCTCTTCACAGTCTATGGTTTACCTGGTATTCAACCTCCAGAGCAGGGCCAAGTCACCTTCATTGCTGCTGGTGTTCAACCTCCCTATGGTCCCTGGAAGACAGGCTCCTTTCCCACATGAAGCTCAGATCCATGTTCATTTGCTTCTGGTCAAAATCTCAAGCACTGCCATGCCCATGACCCAGACTCTAGTTCAGACGGAGGAAATTCTGTTTCTTCACTCTCTCCTCACTGCCAGCTGTCAGAAGGCATCTGTTCCCCTCCTATTACCCTCCATCTCCAGCCTGTATGATATTTGCCCTCACCAGGAGACCTGAGCCCACC